GCTATGAATATTTGCATACCGACCATCTGGTGAGAACTGTGTGTTCTAACTGATGTTATTCAGTGCACGATACTGCATGAGTGCATATGTGTGTTTTTGCACGAGTATAACAGCCTCATGATAAGGCGTGTACTAACCACTGTAGTTTATACTACATGTTACACAGTTTACAGCAGTCACAAAACAAAATAGTCAACACTAACCTATAAACATGGTAGTGACAGCGTGTGGCTGTAATGCTCATTATACATTATACTGTTGTTGTTTGTCCTCTGTACAGCGGCCATTTAAAAACTGTTTTTAGACTGAGCTTTACACTGTCAGGATAGGCTGTTTCTCGTCAGACTCAGCTGAGCTTTGAGCTGAATGCTAACGCAATTAATGCTAATGACCTAAGGCCTCCTTGCCACTCAATTGTTTATCCCCCAGTTAGCTAAATTAACTGTCAACAAACCAGTAGCAAAATGGCTGCAAACGCACCATCACTGGCAGTTACAGCTGACAAGAAAACAAATATTAACACTCATACCATCAATTCATGTAAATCAAAAAGGAGCTATTGCTTGTTTGTCTTTGGTTATACTTGTTATTAAAACACCTTTACATGAAATAGCTCATTTAAGCTTAGCCAACATTAATCTGATGCGACTACAAGGCTAGCAATTGAGGTATTTTGCGTCTTAATAATATGAAGTTTTCCTGTTCTTTCCATTCTGCCAACATGGCATTAAATGCAACATTACACTACACTCAGCATGTTGGTGCGTTCTCTAATAAGCATGCTAACGTTAGCATGTTTGGTTTTTTAAATTGCCTGTAGCAGTTTAACCCACCCACAGCACAGAAAAAATACTGAAGGAAAATGAGTCTACATGGCTACTAACCCCCCTGCAATGCTCGCTTCCTGCTAGCGTCCCTTAGTGACAGGCACAGACAGAAAGGGCACGAACTTGGGTGCGGTTTCTGCAGACTGGTTCATAGTTTCTATCATCAGGGACCGAGTCTCTCTGGAGAGGTTTAATCTGGCTCGGCCTGCATGGAAAACAGTTTCCCAACACTCACATTAGCAGTCAAGCGTTGGCCACAGGGAGAGGTTTACAATGTAAACCATTTTGAAGATGGTTGCTGCTGTGTGAAAATGTTTGCTGTGCACTCTGCCAGATTCCAACGGGAATCCAGTAAGGGCTTCCTCTAACTCATTGGCCCTCATTCAAAATACCTATCAATACTATGTTGGTATCTGTCACATCACTACACTGTTTTCTCCTCGGCAGAATTACAAATGCCAATACTGAGGGTGTGCGTTTAAAGCAAAGGTCTGAAATCTTCTTTATCATGGATACACAGAGGGACAGACAGCATGCCAAGACCAAATGGTTCACAAAATAATTGTGTCGGCTTGCAATACCAACTAAACTGCTTTACAAATAGTGCATGAAGGAACAGCATGATGTGAACCTGCTTTCATGAAGCCTCAAAGCTACCCAGTTCTGTGCTGATGCAGTTCCTTGAAGATAAGAGAACAGAAAGAAGAACACAGGACCAGTTGAGGCCACAGACCGCAGGAGATGACTATTTAAAAACACAACATAGAAGACTGAGCCACAGGACAGAGAAAACAAGGCCAGCATACGCATAATTTCACTGCTCTGCCAGAATCATAGCAATTTGCCCATTCAAATTAAGTGCAGTTCTGTGCAGGGCCGGGGTCATTCTACATAGTCTGATACATGTGAAAAGTTGACACCCTTTCTTGGTTTTTCTGTGCTGAAAGGCTGAGTAGGGGTTGGACTAGAACGCAGTGTCTGCAGATTGTTCCCATGCAGCTGATTAACATCAGCAGTCAGATCTCCATACTCCTGGTCTAATTTCCAACCACTTTTTGGTGAAGGCCCCTCTTTTCAAGCCTGTTCTACATTAAAGAGCAAAGGGTTCTCTGGCTCCCCCGAGGGAAGTGCACTAACTTTCGCTCATTATTTAAGAACAAGGGAACAGTTGAACAGTTGACTGATTGCAGAGCACTCCCCTATTACAATTACCCCTATATTACGCCTATAGGCTCGACAGCCATTACTGGTATGCACTATAATATCACTTCGCTCAGGCCTTGCTCTTTATTTTAATTTGCAGGGGCCATCACAATAATATAAGTACTGTGCATCACATGAAAAAGTGCAGAGAGCAGGTACATGTGAAACCTTCTTACTGTACATGGTTAAGATAATAAATACTTTAACTCAATGTATTAAAATATTGTATTTCTAGCCTTTTCTCTTTTTTTAAATTTAAATTCACTTCAAAGCATGTGAAGACTTACCTCGAATCATCTGTTTTAATAGGAGCTTACTGTGGGGACAGTAAGAAAACAAAAAAGTCTGACAGATCTAAATTAGGTTAAAAGAATTTAAGGTTTTATGCTGTCCTTGTTGAGCAGCAGTATGTCATAAGCTTTTTAAAATTCACTGATATGATTAGATTTGTCTGTGATTTGTATCTTTTTCCCTTCCTGTCTTGTCACTGGGCCTGGGGTATTTGAAGCAGTCTTTTCTCCAAGCTTGAGGCCTGTGCAGCATCTGGTTGACTTGGAAACAGCTGTGTTTTCACAGATCTGACTGAGGGTTTATAGCTGCTCCCAGCAAGCCTGGGTTCACTGCGCCTGTTTGGCTAAAAAATCTTAAATCTCACGTCTTCTCCTCTCTCACAGTCTCACAGAAACACTGTTACTGTCGCTGTTTTTCTTCTTCCTCCCAGGGAATGTATACAGTCTAATACATCTGGGGATGTTAAATGAGTACATGACAGCTCACTCTAGAGTCATAAATTTTAATTTGATGCACAAATCTAACTTCCTGTTATGGCTGTGTTTCAGATACACGAATACATCTATCTACTGTTACTATGTGCACACAAGCACAATGCATCAGTTATTCAAAGCAGGTGATGTAGCAATAAATTCAAAACATACACAGCTTTTTCAACCAGCATCTAATATCAAAAGGCTATTTATTTGTGGTACAAATTTGTAATCTTGTGCTGCAATGTGACTAAGTGGAAACTTTGTTAATATACATTATTGTTCTGAAAACATTATTTAACCACTTACGTAATAACTTTAGCTGTATTGCCTGTTAATGCATGTTTTCGCAGGTAAAACTCCATTCACCAATCAGTCCGTACATTTAGACCACCATGGCTGAAACACATCACGTCATGTAACACAATACTGATTCCACATATGTTCCTCTCAAGGAAACAGTCCATTTATTTTACCAGTTGCTCTCTCCTTCAAAAAGTTCTGGTTTTCCTGTGTTTAGTTGACTATATCAGATATTGTTCAGAGTGTCTGCACACTAGAGCTGAACAGAGCTGCTGGGAGAAGATTGTGAAGTCACTTAAACCTGATGGATTTAAGGAGTTTAGTCTCCTATACTGAAAGCCTACATATTGCTTGCATGTATATGCCAACAACATACGTTAAAAGAACAAAAAACACACTAACATACTCCTGTCACACAGGATAGGTTTTACAGTAAGTGACGGTGCTCTTCTTATTGGATTAAAGCTGACTGATGCTCAAGCAGATAACTCAGCGTTCTCTGGTCACATGACCCGAGACATGCGTGCCAGTGCGGCAGTGGAGCAGGTCATCAAGCATGGTGCTCTTCAGACTAATCAGTGGCTTACAGCCAAACAAAATGGTAACAATATCAGCGAAGAGGTTTAATTTCCTCCAACGTTAAAGTAACAAAGTGGATTTATTTGTTACTGCTCTGTTAGGTAGTGCTCTTAAGAACGATTCTGAGGTTCTGAGGAAGTATTTCCATTTGTGCAACCACAACATTTTAGACAATAATATTGCAACCTTTATGTATTTGGCAGCTTAAGTTATGAGTTTAGTTTTTTTTATATGTTACACATGACAACATCAGATAATATGAATGCAGTACATTATTGTACGTAAAATTACAAAGCAGTACAGTGTAGTAGTGTGTAACAGAAGACAGGTTCAATGTAACACCACCGGGACCAACTACAACATTAAAGGGCTTAGTCTGTAGATCTTCTACTTAAGTAAAGGAGCTGAATACTTGTTCCACCACTGCTTCGCAGTAATTGGTGCTATGTTTGAAATGAAATAAAATATAGGTTTTCAGGGAATCAAATGTTGAGAACTCCTCTTCCTTTTCCATAAATATTTTTTAAGTACACATATAAAACCTAGGGCTTATGTCTTATTACATAGAGAAAAAAACATTAAAAACGTCAGTTACAGTATGACTTTGAACATACATTATAATGTAAAACATATATGTGATATAATGTGTAGTTTTATAACAGTGTCCCCTCCTACTCCCAGTCACTTTTCTCTTTTCTTCAAGACATAAGTACCACATATATCATCTAAAATAATCAACCACATGTTTCTGTAATTACAACATATGAAAGGCACCCCAGTAATCTCCAGAGTTGGGATCATAAATCCTTGCTGACTATGACCTTGTGGGCGACTAGCATTCAACATGTGGAGAGAATAAAGCTATTTTCGGGGGATTCTCAATCAAATAAACAAATCTGGAAGACTGAAGAATGAGGGGGTTGGCTCACAGAAAGCCTGTGTGTTATGGAGGAAACTTTGATTCACAATGTTGGTGAAGGGTGCCCTCTGCTGGCAAATAGTTAGATTTTTTAATTATGATTTTACAATATGGTAAGACCAGCTACAAAATGTATACAAAATGTTACATCTCTTAAAAAGTGCCCAAATTTTCTAAAACAAAACCTCCAGGAATTTAGATTAGGCCAGAAAACAAGCTGGTAGGAGCTGGTATCTTGTTCAAGGATACTTCAGAAGGGCATGCTCTGACATGGTTAAAGGATAGTTTGACTAACCAGTAGGGACACCTGTTGCCAATAAGGAGTCATGTTCACGTTTGGTAGATTGTATCAAGGAAATCAAAGTTAACTCTGAGAGCATTTGGTGGATTCAGGACATCACTGACCTGTATTTGCCAGTCCTGACTTGCACGCCTTTCATTCCACAGTGTTGTGCCCCACCTACATCATTCACCAGATCATCCCCAATCATCAGTGCCTGCAAGAGACGAGGACAAAGAAAACATTGTAATTTAGTTTAGGAGCATCTTTATTTCAATAATGCCAGTTATTCTCCTCCCTTGTTGTTGTTTCTGCTTCCTACCTCAGCATCATCAGCACTGGGCAGATCCATTTCAGCTTGCCCTCCCTTCTCCTCATGTTTCTTTTTTAAAACTTCTCAGCTATCCTCTTCCCTGACCAGGCTTGTTGTTACACAAGCCCGAGTTTGCACCATTGTCTATTAGTGTGAAAAATGCGATTTTCTGGAATAAATTGTAATGGGCAATAAGTGGCAGACAGGGTGAAGAGAGGAAAAAGAAGAACCAGCAAGATCCTAAAGATATTTTCACACCAGGCTTGTCTGTGATTCAAAATAACAGCACGAGAAGAACAAAGCATTATCAGGGTTCCAGTGAACTGGGATACTAAAAAGGAGCTTAAGAACACAATGCATTATTTAGTAATGCAGGGAGGTTAGTGCGGTGAGAGTTGATTACGCTTGGAGATAACCAATATGAACTGAGGTGTTCTCAAGAGTTTGCTAAAGGAATGACACTGGTCTGCAGGAAGGGAAAGGTTTCATTTTGACTACCAAGTGAGTGACTTAACAGACAAAAAATTTCCACTCTGGGAAGAGAAACCTTCTTCGCATGAAAGCCTGGGTGAGTAACTGATGACTCTGGAAAGGGCAGCGGATGTAGCTGTGGATATATCCATGTCTCAGTGAAAGAAATGACAATCTGGAGAAAAGAGTGAGGCTTAGACTGAGATGAAACCAGATTTTTCAGAGTGCCAACTGCCAGGTCCAAACATAGATAAGCTTAGAGAGACTGCAGTGATAGAGCACAGTCTTTCGACTTAGGATACACAGAGATGAGCAGATGCCAGGAATAGACATTAAACACATGTTCAGACACCTGATGCGAAAAAGAGTTGTCAGGAACAGGAAGCGTCCTGGCTTTGCTCTGTGATAGGATCCAGCATGGATCGTGTGTCAGAATCTTCCTATTCCAGCTGCCAGTGGCTAAATATATCAAACTAACAATTAGGAGGTGTTTTCAAGTAATTAGTTTTGGAATGGCTGCACCTCTCTTGGAAAGGTGTGTGGAGTGTTAATAGCTCAGCACTACAGCGTATATGTACCTACAGTATGTGGCAAAACACATCAACAGGTGGCTGCTACGAATGGCGTACAAAACCAGCAGGAAAACTAATAAATATCTTGAAACAATAATTAAGTTTCCTGACACATGTAAGTATATACTGTATATCTGTGCCTCTACACAAGGAAATAACATGACAAAGCCCACAGGAATTTAGGCACATTAAAGGAGTATTTGTCGGGCCGGATTAAGATCACAAGATTGTTCTGGTTTGTATTATTATCACAAAACAGTTATGGTGTATTTGTTTAGTTAGCACTTCACATCCCATGCCCGTAAATTTAATTCATTCTGAAACTGTTTTTACAGTCAATTGTGCAACACTTTTTTTTTTACATGTCAATGCACAATTGCAGATGCTGACTTCTGCAGCTTTACCACCCAGAGGGGAGTGACCACTGCAACTACCGAGTACAGCGACATAAAGTGCATATCATCCATATAAACTGGCATATTTAAAAAACTAATCACTGCAGTTCTGAGCTGACTGACTTACATACCAATCCAGTCAAAGGTCAGAACAGAGTCAAAGCATAGAAGAATCCCCCCCCCCCAGCAAAGCTAAATATTTAGCATTTTAGCCTAGATCAAAGAACTGAAGCAAGAGTCTTCCTTATTGCACAACATTACACTTACTTGCATTCTGGATACATACAGTATATTTTGTTGTTAACGTACCTCATGTGGTTGAAGCCCCATGTCATTGAGAACACTCTGGAAGAATGTTGGGGATGGTTTTCCAATAACTTCAGCCTTTAAATCACAGGCATACTGGGGGAAGAAAACAATAATTAGTCATTGTTCACATGAGCAGAAGTGCTGTTATCAATTCTTAATAATTCTATCAATGCAAATGATGAAACTACTGTACCTCCAGAGCCTTCATGTAAACCCCGACATCCAGTTTCAAGCCATCTGTCTCCTTGTAGTACCTCCTTATGAAGAGAGCAAAACATCCAAAACATTTATATATATTATTTATTTTATATTTCACGCTGTGCTTGTCACTTGGAATAAGCAATACAGTACTACTGACTACTAACATTTAATATCCTCTCACCCTTGGCCCAGAGAGAACAGCACTGGTTTCTCCAAGCCTATAAGGACCCTGAATGCCTCATTCAGGTTCTGGTAGGAAAATTTTTCAGCTGCGTCTCCAATCACCACGCAGTTTGGGTTGGCCTTGTTGACGCTGTCAAACTCCGGGATAAGTCCTGCAGAAGAGTAAACACGCAGTTTAATACTTTTTAGTGTTGGGTCATATAAAGCAGCTGTTCCCAACCTTTTTCCTTAAGGGACCCCTTTTCTATCATTAAGTGAACTGACATGACGGACTAAGTAACATATTTTATGGATATTTCATTATATTATCAGATTATATTCAATAAACCGAAATAGTGAACTCAGTAACTACGAGACATGTGTTTAAAACAAGTGATTTGTACGAATTCTGAGCAGATTATATCCTGTTTAGGGAACTTTTGATACAATTCTCTGATTGTATCAAGCATCAGCGTTTTCTTCTCATTGTTGTTGTTTATCAGCGAGTGAAGGCTCTGTGAATATAGCTTGTGTTTAATGAGCCACAACACTGGACTGGGTGACATGTTTTCTGACAGTGAACCTAGGAACTGTAGTTTGAATCTGTAAATAATAATCATAAAACTACAGTCCTGTTTTAAAAAATGATTCCGTTTTACAAAAAAAGTGAAACTACATGTTTGTAACTCATTTTCCTGGATTTATATTTTAGTAGGAAGCAATTGCCACAGTTGGTTTTGGTCTTTTAATGGGATTTGTGAGGGAAAAATACAGCCAGCCTTATCCTGTAGCACAAGTTCTGTGGAATTTATGTTGATGTTAAAAATGTGAACGTTTGAAGAGTTTGTTTTAACAGATTCTTGATCCCTAAAAGTTTGCCTTAACAGTTATTTGCTGTTGGTGAATCCTGAAACACACTGCATTAACCAGTGCCCCGAAAACTCTGCTTTAAGTGGATAAAAATGTCACCCAACTGATTATTACTTTTATATGCACTGTGTATAGGATATGTCTTGACGATTTTAAAGCATTACCATCATACACCAGCAGGTGGGGCCGTAGACCCCTCTCTTTAAGGACAGCTACGGCTGCAGGAGCCGGAGAGAACACCTCAGACACAGATATGTCAAAACCCAGTCTTTGGAGCTTGGCTACAAACGTCTCTCTGGTGGCCTGGGTCTCATTGGTGCAGAAGCGGAGCAGCAGGTCGGACGCCTTTAGCCTTTTAAAGGAATCAGGAGGTCAGATTGAGGGTGGAGCACACACACACACACACACACACACACACACACACACACACACACACACACACACACACACACACACTGACACTGAGATGACAACAGCTCTCTCACAATGATGAAATATGCAGCTTTAACCATACATGCACTTTGCTCCACAGGCTTTGACAGGCAGTATGCTGAACATGCAAGGGGCTTGAAAAAAAAAAAACTCTTAAAAATGTCTAATAACTCACTCACTTTTTCACAGCTTCAATAGAGCCAGGAATGGCAACCCCGTCGCCCTCCCCGCTGTCGTATAAAACGCCACACATGTCCAATATGACACCTTTCAAACTCTTCGCACAGCCTGGCCAGCCACTGTCAGCCATGACAAAACAGTACGTCTCAATGCGCATGCGCGTAATGCCAGGCAGCCTGTGTGGTGGGATTCAACCTCCTGCTCATTGATGTTGTAACATGTATGGCACACTGTGTACTCATAGTTATCATACTTACAGTCCTATGTCGTCGTCCCCCCCCTTTTTTTTTTTTTTTAATAAATACCACAGATATTTTACTTTTATCACTTGATTTCAGATAACAGTGTGTGGCTGACACCTGGTGGTGATGACAGTGATTATGAGGATGATGAATTTTGCGGCAGTCACTAATATATTTATTTATTTATTTATTTATTTATTTATTTATTTATTTATTTTAGGCAATCACCGGAAAAAGTTGCAACATGGAGGCGTGTCCTCTGACGTAAGTACGCATAGAGACGCCACGCCAGACTGTCACATAAAGCCAACCGCTTCAAGTTTCAGACAAGCAGCATCATCGTCGTTTCAACTTCAGCTTCTCTTCTATCTGGTAACGTTATTGTTTGACTTTCTTCAACGTTGTCTCCTCTCTCCGCTTGAGAACGCTTGTTCGATAATGTAGCGATGGCAAAAAAGTAAATAACATACTGACAGCCGGTAACGTGCTAATCTTAGCTAGCTGGCCGGTGCTATGTAACTAAAAGCAAAGCACTTGTTTGCGGTTAGCGTTGATCTTCAAAACGTCTACACTCTTTTGGGGGGGAGAAGATAAGAAACATGTATTTATTAATGTCGACTGGCCTCTAAGAGTCATAAATATATAACCTGTATTGTACTTTTCTAATACAGAAAGGTTTGGGAGGGCTGCCTAGTTCACAACGACTACCACATGATAGGAACGAAGAGTTATAGTCTTTATTTAGCTCCTGGCTGTAATGTAGATGGGTGTGTCGGGGAGGCAGCTCCTCAACAACCTATCATCTCTCAAGAACAGGTTTTACACACAATCAGTGACACGGACGACTGACCTTGATGTGACCAGTCCAGGTTCTGTCTGTTTGCTGTGTGTATTTATTCACTGTGTAAGGTTATTGATTATCTCGAGCCAACTACTGGCTATCTCATTTTCACATTCAGTATGTCCTTTCTGGAAAATTGCTGTACTGTTCTTATCATTTTGCATGGAATTAGCCTATGTTCATAGTCAATCTCAGACAGCTTGTTGCCCTACAGCACCAGTGAAACATGGTGTGAGTCATCTCAAAACTATTCAGGGCCACGCCATTCATTTTAGAAAATAGCAATGAATTTCCCCCCCAAAAATGCAAGAAAAGTAGTGCATGTCACAGTACTAGCTAACAGTGAGAAGGACATTTAAAATAATTGTGACCCAATAGAAAGCTCTGGATCATCACAGTTGAGTTGCCATGCTGCTGTGGGATTAGCTTTTTGTTAACCCATACCCAGCAAAGGTCTTTTCCTCTATTGTGTCCAGTGTGAAAGAGAAGCGTTGTTCAGCAGACCTGTAAAGCCTATGTGCACTATGGAATCTCACAAGCGTATAAGTATTCAACCTTTGTAGCTACAGGAAGGTTTTTAGGGGCATTTCTTTTTTTTGAGCATCACTGCCAATCATAGGAACTTGATTAACAAGTTTATTGTGTTTGTTGGTGTGGCAGTATGTGGCAGTATGTCTTCTAGAGCTGCAAGGATAATAAAATTATAGTTATAATAAAATTATAACTGATTAATTGTTGGGAAGAATGGTGTTTTCAGCCACACGAATATGGAGATTCCCTGGTTTTCTCTGTACTTTATACTTCGAGAAACTGGGTTTGACATTGTTCACTATTTTCTGACATAGACCAAACAATTATTAACTTCTGTTTCAACATTTACTGGAAGTGTTAAGCTTATTGAATAGCTGTGAACCTACTAGGGCTGAAACTTTCAGTTAATTTGATGATTCTTTTCTTAATTAATCCATGTTTAATGCATTCTTAAAGTTAAAATGTGGTGTGGTTACATTGATAGATTTACTGTATATGTTACTTGGAGCAAAGGAATGCATTTGTCACTGATACCAACTGAATTTCTTTCTTTTTTGTGTGCTTTAACATCTAGAAATAGCAACATAAAACCATGAAAGGAATGATGCTCCAGCTCAGCCGCAGCCTAAGCCGCGCTGCCCCTGTTCTCAATCGCAGCATCCACTCTGGTACGCGCCCGGCCTCTACCGCTGCCTCCAAACTGAGGTCCGAACGTCCGCTCACCTCAGATGAAATCTACGCCCGTGAGGACAAGTATGGCGCGCACAACTACCATCCTCTGCCTGTGGCCTTAGAGAGGGGGGAGGGTGAGTTCATTTTCCTAGAAATGTTACAAATCACACATTTAATAATTATTCAACAGTTTCCGAGAGATTTTTTTTCTTTTTGTTTTTTTTTTTAGGCATATATGTGTGGGATGTGGAGGGCAACCGGTATTACGACTTCCTGAGTGCTTACAGTGCAGTAAACCAGGGTCACTGTCACCCAAAGATTGTAGCTGCGCTCAGCGCCCAGGCCTCCAAACTCAGCCTGACTTCCAGAGCATTTTACAACGATGTGCTGGGAGCCTATGAGGAATACATCACCCGCATGTTTGGCTATGACAAAGTCTTACCCATGAATACAGGTACTGTAGGCAAACCTTCAACTCATTTTATAATTCTAACATCTGCAGAGGTTATCATGAGTTTATTTGTTACCGTTTATTTTATTTTTTTTACTTATTAGGTGTTGAAGGTGGTGAGACTGCCTGCAAGCTTGCTCGCAAGTGGGCTTACAGTGTGAAGGGGGTTCCCCAAAACAAGGCCAAAATCATTTTTGCAGGTAAGACTACATCACAGTTTCAGAGTTTGTCCCATTTGTCACCTTTACTCTGTGTCGTATAAAGGAATTGGTACCAAAATCATGATGATGGCTAATGTTTTGCACATTTGATGCATATTCTGCTTAACTATTGTACTTACAATGATTCTTGTTTGGATTGTACAGGCTAAGATTACCAAACTTAGCATTAGCACCAATCCTCTTGACAGACAGTAGGATAAGGTGACGGTCAAAGGTTTTCAAATGTCCTGCAGCATATAAAAATGTACTGTCAGAACAATATGATTAATGTGTCATCTCTTTCACTGTTGTTGATTAGAGGGAAACTTCTGGGGCCGCACCATGGCAGCCATCTCCAGCTCCACGGACCCTAGTAGCTATGAAGGTTTCGGTCCCTTCATGCCAGGCTTTGAGCTTGTCCCATACAATGACATTCCTGCACTGGAGGTACAGCTTTTGACTATCTTCAAGACATGCAGTGCAGTATCGACCATGTTTTAAAAAAAAATTTGTTTCAGTATTTCAGACAGTACACTGGAATGACACTTTTGAGTTTCATACTGTCACCCGCAGCTAATGTGTGGAAAAAGTTTATTCAGCCTTAGTTTAACCCAGCTGCCTTGTAAAATGTTATGTTTCAGTCACTGCACACCAGACTTCGGTCCCTTTTTATACATAAAATACTTAAATGTACTAACAGCAAAAGTTTTGATCTTATTTGCAAGATACATGGTTGACTTTGTTATTGGGGTTGTAGAGAAACACTGATGTCAGAGGCGGCAAGAGTTTCATCATTCAATGGTAATGTGCTGGTGGAAGGAGCCAACATGCAGGACCTTTAAGTCTCCTGCCAAATTGTATTTCTCTCAGTGTTTTTTCCTGGCAAGACTAACCTGGAGGACAGAGAAGAATTATATCAGCTGTTTATAAAGGCCACTGTTCTGGAAATAGATTTTGGTCAAAAGATTTGCACTTTACCCAGCCTTGTAGTCAAATATTGATGTTGTTTGACAACATTAACATGCATTATCTCTGTTTAAAACAGTGTTTTTATATAAGATCCTCCAAAACCAGCTGACTTGACACCCTCATTATCTGTGTAAACATGAGGATCGAGTGACCGGCTGAAGTTGCATGTGTCTGCTGATAAGATTATCTTCGCGACTGCTGCTTTTCTACGTAAATTAGACATGTAATGATTGACTGAAGTAGCATGTATTTATTGACAAGGGTCATCTTAGACACAGATTAAAATGTCTGACTAGTCTTTCTCTTTTCTGTCTTTTGTCCAGAAAGCTCTCCAAGACCCAAATGTTGCGGCTTTCATGGTGGAGCCCATCCAGGGTGAAGCTGGGGTGGTGGTGCCCGACCAGGGTTACCTGACCAAAGTCAGAGAACTTTGCACCAAATACAACGTGAGGCTTGGAAAAACACACAGACAAGAGTTTCCTTAGTTTAGGGGTTAATGTCTTGATTGTGTGAAAACACAGGTACTAGCCATCTTCAAACAGAAATGCTGTCTGGATTGTTGGTAGTAAAAACACAAGAGTATATTTGGCATCATTTCCACTAATCGACCACTAAAACTGCCATGTCTTAACTCCAAAGTTGTGGTGACAATGCTACCATTTCCAAATCATCAGGATACTCCCTGGTATGTGGATCTACAGCACACAAATCTAGAGACAGCATTTTGTAGTTTTTAAATCATGCTGCCATAGTACACATGCACGTCGTATCTTCCATATGCATGGCTAATACAGTTTTGTTTGGCCTCAAGAGTAAACATATTCAAATGTTTCTAAGCAATATGAAAGCATTACACACAAACACACAGCTGCCAGCTCTTATTGTCTCCTTCTGACTGCAAAATTAACTGAGGGCAAACTGCAGTCTGGGTTGATGCTCATTTATAAGTTTTTTTTTATCTGGTAAAAAAAAAAAAAAAAGAAGAAAAGCATTGTAGATGATCTGTGCTTCACCAGGAGAGAAAAAAGGTTCAGAAGTAGAGTGAAGTGCAGCATCATTGAAATGTGCCAAAGAAAACATACCGTTCTATTCTGTTCAGCTAATGTTAGTATGTTATTCACTCCAGTCATCCATGCTAACACACAACTGTGAGTGATGACAGGGAATATGTCAGCCTATAGCAGATATAATGCTTAATTGTCATTTAATGCAACATGTAAATACTTGTAGACATGTAATTTAAGGCTGTTTCCAGTGGGAGTAATA